TGTAGCCTATATAATGTGTAAAGTTTAGTATACTCTAATCCCTTACAGTGATGGCACACGACGAGACACACATTCGGCATGTAATGCTGTTTGAATACAAGAAGGGAAACAATGCCTCTGTAACCATAAATAATATCATGTTGGGATTGATATTGATGCTCTGAAGACGCTTTTTGAGTCTAATCCAAGGCAACAAACTCGTGAAATTGCACTGAAATCGCATGTCTCTCATGAAACAATACGTAACCATCTAAGGAATATGGGGAAACTTTATAAAGAAGGTGTTTGGGTGCCTCACAAACTCTCCGATGATCATCGCTCTCTTCTGACGCGTAATGCGCGTGAACCATTTTTGGACAGAATTATCAACGGTGATGAAAAATGGTTTCTCTATGCGAATATTAAACGCTAAAAACAATGGCTCTGTCCTAGACAAAAACCACTTCCGACCCCAAAATCTGGACTTCATCCACAGAAAGTGATGCTTTGCATTTGGTGGGACATCAAAAATAGTTATTCATTTCGAACGCCTCAATCCACAGCGAAATGTCAATGCAAAGATCTATAGTCAGCAGTTGGAACGTTTAAATCAAGCTCTTCATCAGAAACGCCCTTCACTCGTCAATCGGAAAGGTGTTCTTCTTCTCCACGACAATGCACGTCCACATGTGGCACGTTTGACGCAACACCAGATTATGGAGTTGGGTTGGGAAGTTCTCCCCCACCCACCATATTCTCCAGATATGGCACCATCAGATTATCATCTTTTTACTTCGCTGCAACACCATCTTAATGGGAAAACGTATGCACATGTGGAAGATGTTAGAGAGAACATCGACATGTTTTTTGTTTCAAACCCAAGTGATTTCTTTAATCAGGGCATTAACAACCTGATTGTAAGGTGGAAAAGCATCATCGATAAGAATGGATACTATTTCATTTAATAAATGTTTTGTTTTGATATATAAGTTGTTCGGGGTTTTTCATCTAAAAAAAAACGATATTAATTTCTTGTTGACCTAACAGATAAAGAGAATGAAACATACAATAGTGACCTATAAGTCAAAAGCACTAAGAAAAACTTTATGAGAAACTAGAAAAGACCAAAACATGTAGAATAAGTAAGGAAGAGTTTTTAAATAAAGTGAGAGAAAGAAATGGAAAATTAATTTGAACATATTTATCAAACAGAAGTACAAAAAAATCAATATTCTCAGATGATATTGAAATATCATTTTTGTGGTAGAAATTATCAAGTAAATTCATTACACATAAATGTAAGAAGTATTAGGGATAAGGTTTAGCAGGTTTGAATTAATAATGTATTATTTGAATAATAAAGTAGATGTATTACTTCTGACTTGGATATGGTTAAAAATGAGGAAGTCAATCAGAACCAGTTATATGGATATAAATTATTTTATAAGTCAAGACAATATAACATGTCTAGGGGAGTAATGGTTTAGGCTTAGACCAACATAACAGTTGAACAAATTGAAATTAATGAGATATTAGGAGGAGAAATTTTGAGTATATCTCTAGATGAAAGTGATATACTTATAATTGTTACTTTTAGATCACCAAGCTTTACAATACATGATTTTTAGATGAATTAATAGCTGTATTAAGAAATAATGAAACTGAAAATGCAATCTATGTTCGTAATATAAGCATTGATTTTTTTAGATGAAACAAATTATATTAATGAGTATATGGGTTAAATGACTGTGCTTGGTTTGAATCAACGAAGCAACTAAAAAGGTATTATTGTGAGAAAATCAATCTACAACTATAGTTTTAGAGGATTTCTTTCCTTTTTTAACGACAAATACCTAATAATATTTTAAGTACGTCACTTGTGGCATCTTAAAATGGTATCGGAAATGTATACTTTTGGGTTTTATATCTTGGCATCTTTTTTTTTGTTGTTGTTGAAGCTTAGAAAGAGCTGCTATTCAAAATATAAAGCGTGTAAGATAATATATAGGAAAGAATTATAAACAATAAAAACAAAAATCATTCGATTTTATCTATTTTTACTGGTTCGTATATCATAATCAAGTCTGTTATCCGATATGGTTGTGTCGTGTAGACAGATGGTTTTTTTAAAATTCAGTTTCCGTAGTTCAGTTACAGAAACATTATTTTTTTTGGCAAAAGTAGGACCAATAAATGAATTTTTGATGGAATTAGCAAGGGATATATATTCCCAAGGCAGGTTGAGATTTTTCTAAAGTCACTTATTGTTGATAACGCCAAAATCAGTAGTAATAAAGAAACGCGATTACTCGAGTACTTTCCTTCCTAAACACACAATGTGTGAACTAATAAGATATATTTTTTATTAAATAGTATTTTGTGAAAATTTTTTTTTGGGGGGGGGGGATCAGAGAAAAAGCTGGAAGTTTAAATCTTCATTTCAAATATCCCAGAATTATTTCGAGATGGAGAAAACCCACGAGATCTCCAACTTCTATTGAGTGAACCTATCCTAAGACTTGTTTTTGTTCTATTCTTTGCGGTTACATTCGAAAATAAAAACTTTGTATAGAAACAAAAGCAAACATACAGACTGGGGTTTTCAATCGTTACATAACCTTATGCGCACATTGGTTAAACGGTCAATGCAGAAGGTGAATGTATTATCTTCCCTAATTTTGAGCTACTGGCCAGATATAAGGCAGCCAGTCAGCAACACTCGTTGTCACGAGACTCTGTCCGGCTTTAAACCAAATAGTAGGATTGGCGCTCAGACTTGTAACGCACCCACAGCTTAAAGTCAGCGTGTTCAGTGGCATCACGGCGCGAACCCTCGACCTTCCTATACACAGCCAGGAACGCCTACCATTAAACCATGCACGGCCCAAACATAGTGATATGAGAGCTTAGTTTATCATGACGGTAATATAAAACAAGCGAAATACTTGATGGCGTTTAGCGTCCATTCATTTGTATTAAAAACGCATATAATAAAGAAATAAATATGCACATCCAACCAATAAGTAAATATACATCACTGTAAAAAGAATTCTGTTTTATTGAGTTAAAAAACAACAAGTACATGGTTACATTAGAATTTAGTGGAATTGCCCCTTGCGTTATTTAAGGCAGAAACATGATTAACTAATTTTAGAAGATCTGAAATCTGGTCCTGTGGGGTTGCACCATACTCTTGTCAAAAACTTCGAGGAAGATCATCCTAGAAGCTGGTTATTTGGGACAGTTTCACAGAGAACGATCAAAAATGAACCACGCATGCTCGATAGCGTCCATATCATGCGATTGGTCTGGCTACGGGAGAATGTTTGTGCCCTGATCGTGATTTTGTAACTCGAGAATAATGAGCAGGAACTCATTATACATGAAAAAAATCGCCTTGTCTGGTAAGTTTGTCATTGGCTTAGAGAAGTAGAAAGTCCTGCTCGTAAATGGTAATGTCTTGATTAGCATACCAAAATAGCTGATAAAATGGCATCTCACACCACAACAGAAACGTCGTCATATTTGGCTATGGCTTGCAAACGGTTCAACAAAAGTTTCAGAGGAAATAGTCACTAAATGCGAATACAATAATCCCCAAATGCAGATGTGTCCACTGGCCTAGAATTGTGCAAATTTGGACTTGTCGGAAAACAAGATGCTGTGTCTCTGAAGGCATAAGGGTGTGATAGCATTTGTGATGTTCATTGCCGTCGAACGTACGATATTATATGGAGTGAAGAATAGCTTTTGTCTAACTATTCTACCGTTGCAGCCTATTCTATGAATATAACTTCAGATGGTATTAGGACCCACTTGCACCTGTTCTTCAACAGGCTGTTTGAAATGGTCATTCTCCATTCTTTTCCTCATAGCAAGTGGTTTCTTTTGAATCTGTATTTTCATCGTATTCACTATGAACATTAGTACCATAAGTAGCCTGGCAATTACTTTCTGACCTTGACCACTCTTTTATCAACCAACTATATGACCTTGTGAAAATACCATTAATTCCTGGTATCCTTTCGTTCGTGGCATGGCTATTTGTATTTTGTGGTCGTAACCGAGCTATTACTGTGATTTATATGTATATATGTGTATTTGTGTTAGTGTATTGGGGTTATTTGCATATGACGTCATGAAAATGGTCGATTCGTATTCTCGGGGTGTCTGTTTACTTATTGGTAGGTTATGTACATTCTTATGCGAATTCTAAGAACTTATGAGTGAAATTAATGACGAATGGTAATAGTATATCAACGACACTATATCTTCTATGTTATTCAGTCTCGACGAAGCCTTTCATCAGGATGTAGGTTATGTACATTCTTATGCGAATTCTAAGAACTTATGAGTGAAATTAATGACGAATGGTAATAGTATATCAACGACACTATATCTTCTATGTTATTCAGTCTCGACGAAGCCTTTCATCAGGATGTATGGGATACGACAGACACGTTATTTAATAATGTCAAATTGCATGTCAAAGAGAAATTAATTGATAATAAATCGAGGAGTATGCTCAATAATGACATCATTTGTTGTAGTTGATTTTAATTTTTTAGTTACTATATTTTAAATTAAGCTAGCACTAAGAAAATAAGGAGAGCCACATTTTTCATACATAAATATCCAGTATTAGGTATGTACAAAATATATTACGTATTTGACCTGTAAAAACCGTGTATATGGCTGGTGTTGAATTTAATTCAAAAAGGCTCCTTATCAGACTCAATATATAATACTTAAAGCTTTAGGCTATAGTTTCATATACAAGCTTGTTCATTTTGGAGTGTTGATAATTTAAAGTTCCCTTGTGTACAGAACTTATTGTGATGTGTTTTTTCACATTAGATACGAATTATTGCTTTGCTAGTATCACTCTGATTTTCGTTTTTCTGTTTCTTTTTTTAACGCGGTTAGGATATAGAACTAAGTCACGGTTTTTTTTCTCAAGTCACTTTATCTAACAGAAGTTATAAAGTTATTAAAATCATTGGTGTATTTATTAACCTAAGCGTTAGACAAACTAATGGTGACTGTTTGTAACTTCTCCAAATTATATATTTACATATCCTAAAAAAAAAAAAAACGCACATTGAGCTTGTTAAATAATAGTTGTTTCTAATCCATTTGTTTCAGATATAAACGTGAGGTTCACTTGTCCTTCAGATATACTATTAGATTCTATGTTTTCATCTCTCTTGATTCTACTATTAGGTTTCTTTTCTGTTTCAAGTGTCCCATTGGTCCGATTCTCCTCTGCGTTGGCCTCCTCTTTTTCTGACAAAGGTGTTAATGTAGAACTTGTACGCATTCTTGATAATTTACGTAACTGTCCTTTTTTATGATCATTTGGTGGGGCAAGAAATTCATTTGTCTTATGCGCATCCGATGTTTTTTCAGTTGAAGGAACAAATGACAAGCTTGTAGAAGCCTTTTCTCTTGTTTCTACATCTTTTAGGCTTAGACGAATCTTTGGTCTCTCACTGTGACGTCGGCTTTCTATGGCCAGTATAGACTGCATATTACTTGAATAGAAAGCAGCCACGTTGAGGGAGGTAGCAGTTGGTATTTCATGGAACCCACGATGCATAACAACTCCTGTCAAACTTAAAGTTCGGTTTCGTTGTTCAAGTTCCTCTTTTGTTTCTGAAACGATAATAAATAAATAAATACAGTAAGCGCATTTATATATGTTGCTCTGTTACTGACCAGTTTATAAACATTATAATGAAGAATCTGTAGTTGAGTGTATCTAACCAAGAATTATTACCAAATAAGTGAACCGTTTGGTGCTTTTGTATAGTTATATATGAGTGAACTAATTTAATAAGCTCATATTTCATTTGACAATTATACTAACTCGAATAGTTTGTAACATTTTAGGTAATTACGAAGTAAATGAATGTATCAGTGTGTTAGATTCCTCTAGCTTGAATCCAGAACATTCCTGTATTTTAAAGAATAATAAAAATCGCCAGAATTATGAACATTTTTAGCCTTTGTGTGCAGTTTCGATTCTTACCTGAAAAGGAGTCAGCAGCTTTATCAGAACTAGTGCGTTTTTTTAAATAAAAGACATTGATGAGGAAGTAGCAGACACAGAGTCCAGCGGAAATGTAGGAGTAAATTCTGAAAGTTTCTCGAAATCCCCAGGCTTCTGTCATAAATCCACCACTTAGGCTTCCAAATGCTCTTCCTAATTGAAAAGATAAATTACAAAGTCAAATTGATTTGATAAACCAAACTGAATTTGTAAATGAATATGTTACACGACATGGTATTTATAATTTTTTTTATTTGTTGTTAAGCAGGAAACTACACAATGGGTTATTTGCGATGCTTACAAAGCAGGCATCGAACACCGAATTTTAGCGTTACAAGCCCTCAAGATCACCGCTAAGCAACCAAGAATGTATTTATAAATAAATACGTTTTTTGGGGAGAATATATTTTGTCAGACACCTTTGTTAACTTTGTCATTGAAACTGACTTTTTACAAGAACACTGTTATACCGGTATTGACTCCTATTATTTTGTATAGTAACTTTTCCGTTAACAGACTGTAGTTAAGTTATAGCTTGCGACAGAATGCTAAAAAATAGTGTAAATTATTGTTGAAAGATACTTATGAATTTACTTCACACTCCTAAGAAATTCAACTTTTCTATTAATAACACAGTAATTTTTTTGAATAGGTAAAGTAAGTTAATACTTGAAGAAAATAGTTGCAGTTGTGACAAAAGTAGGAAATTCTCACCAGAAATGAAGTGAAGATTGTTCCAAAGTGTCATAATTGTTGTTAGCATCTCTAAAGGAGCCAGGTGAGTGCAGTAAAGAGTCACTCCAACGGTTAGGAGTGTAACTGTAAAGTTCTCCATAGTTTCATAAATAAGACACATGTACGGATTCGTGGCATAGGAATACCCCATAAATCTTATTACGTATGCCGCAAAAGCCAAAACAATGACATTTACATAGCCAACTTTCTTTATTATCCATGTGGAATAGATCGCAATTGGGACACCAGTTCCTGCTCCGACAGTAAGGGTAAATCCCATCAGCAATGTGGATGACTTTAGCTCACTCTCTAGAAACCAAAATAAAAAGTTCTCTAAAAATCCCCATGAAATCCCCAAGAATAAAACATTAAACAACAACAAGTTCACCTCAATGTTGGATAACAGAATCCCCAAATTTTTAATAGCCCCTTCTGATGGAACTTTTACGCTGAGATCTACAAAGAGCGAAACTATAGCTGCAGTAACATATAAAGCTGCATAAAGATAAAAACATGGGGAATACGTTTTGGCGTTTTCTCCCTCACTGATCCAGTCTACCAAGCCGCCGCTAATTGGAGCAAATGAGCACATGGCTACAGCTTGCCACATGCGCTGGTAGCCAACATCTGCATCATACTTTTGCATCACTACCATTGACGCTGCGTCGAAGAGTCCATTTACAAGTCCAATTCCCAGTGAAACACCAAGTCGAACTGACAAATAAATCCAAAATGTTTTGAAATAATTTCTCTCACCAAAACACAAGTTGTCATTCCCTTTAGCCTCGATAGCACATAGAGTGAAACAATGTAGATCAGTATTTGGCATATATTCAGGTTTACAGATAATTCTGTCATAAAATTTTCCATCATAAGAGAAGTTGTTTGCAATGAAGTAAGAAATGATAACGCTCCCGTTTTCAGTATCTTGTACTGGAGACTTAGCATTCAGGTCGAATATACGAAAAGTAACACTTTCATTTTTGCTTATACAATTACAATCCTCTACATTGTCGTTTTTGAAGCATAATTCACTATCTGATTTCGTTCCGTCGCAAATATTTTGGCAAAATGAAAGTTGTACTGTCAACTCCTCCATGTACGAATGGTTCCTGAGTACGCAGGAATTGCTCATATTCAAGTTGACAGTGTTTGGAATATTAGAACCTGAGTGGCAGCTTAGTTCAAGATTGATATTCTGAAAGTTTATCTCCACGGGAGGGGTAAAGTAAAGACCAAGGCATGTTCCAGCTGAAAAGGTGAGGAAAAAACAAAACAAAATTTTGAAATTTCCGATCCGATCAGCTAAGACACCGATTAAAGGTGCCACGAACAAAGCCACTAGTGGTTGAACGGCAAAGATGATAGCAGTTTCTCGGATAGACATACCAAGGGATTTAAGATGTACTGTGAAGTAGGGATACAGGGTAGCTTGTCCTGTAAATAGAAGAACAATACTTTCAGAAATTACTTAAAAATATGCAATAAAGTTATTTTCAAAAATATTACATATGTTAGGTGTATGCTTCATTTTAATTCCTCATTTGGAATTTACTTTTTTTCTTGACTTAACCCGACTGTATTTCTTAACGCTAATATTTAGTTGCTACATAATTTGTTGCCATCTACAGTTATTTACGTGGCGACGTTGTATGATATCGATCTTCGATTCAGGACTGTGCTGTCGTTATAAACTTAACCATATTTTACAACTAATCTATTCACTGTAGAAATAGCAATGTATAATTCTATGCAAAGCACATCAAAATTGAAACAGATCTGAAGTATAATAAAACTTTACAAGTTTGAAGAAAAATGGAGTAATGTTACTTGTGGCATTAAAAATAACTTCCTTATCAAAGCAGTCATCGCTATGTTTGATCTTACAATATATTAACTTCAATAATTTTACACGAGTGTATTATAAGAAAATAAGGTACTTGCCAAAAAGGTTCTGTTTAACATTAAAATAAATATTCTTTCTTCTGGTACTTGTCATGAAATTTTCACAAACACAAAAGTACATAGCCAAGTGAAAATGACAATGTAAAAAAAACAACACTCACATCATCAGTAAACATGAAGTCGCCAACTGTGTTTTTTAGTTGTTTATATAATGCCATGAATTACACGATTTTTTTTTAAAACAACAAAATTAACATTTTTATTTCATATCCCATATTCTGCTTTGATCGTCTCATAAAGTCAGCTAGTATGGCAAGACATGGTGCAAAAATCAGGGTCAATTGTTTTGTAAATCCTGAATCCGTTTTATTTTGTGCCCGTGTGTGTATTTAGTTATGTAACTTTACAGCAGCTTGTTCTAGCAAACGCAGTAAATATGGAAAATGTACACATGTCGCTTTCCCTGACATTTCAAAACTGTAGAGAGCACGTTTAATAAAACTTAGAAGTATTTCTGAGACGTGTTTAGGATGCTACAAATAACAATTTTAAACCAGTTGTATTTCACCATTAAAAGTTTATATAAAACATATTTAAAATACCATTAAAAATGCTCCCCGTTTACTATTAAGATTACACAACTCTGTCTGCCAAAGAAATGTTTCCATGAAAATAAAATACGAACTACAAATGAATTACATGCTTAGATATAGCGCTTGCGTTTACCGACGTTGTGTATTCAACATCATAATGCAGCCCAACAAGATAACAACGCACTAGGATATTTAGCTCACATATCATATTAAATTACCACGAATAAGATATAGGAACGATTAAAACATAACCAGAGATGAAATGAAACTAAATAAAAGGTAAAACTATATAACACACGATGATGATGATTGTTGATTTGTGGCGCATTTTTACAGTGAGTTTCATTTGTTTACCGTAATGTCTCAAAGGTAAATTAAAGTCATTTTGCAGTTCTTGCAAACTATTTTAAAATATAACCATTAGTATTAATGCCTTTGTAAAGCTTTTCACAAAACCTGATTTAATTTTATTTCAGAATACACGCAAAATAAATATAGAAAAATGCTTTTTTAATTCACTTTTAACAAGATACTATGAACAGTTTGAAGCTCAAGAGTTGGTGCAAGAAATTAGAAGGTTTTTGTAGGGTAAATGTTTTTAGATTTATGATGAATGAGTTATTTCAAATATTGCAAGTATTTTATTAATATTATCAATTACAAAAAGCAAATACATTTCTGTTTGTACAACTGTTTAATAGAATGACATGTTTATAAGGCACATATTTAAAATATGCCACACGATCCAGCCCGGCATCTTGATGTGAATACAAAAAAAATGGGTCATTTCGGAAAATTTTAGGTTGTTTTGATTAGAGAAAAAGGAGACGTTTGACGCTATTTTCGAGGTCTAGACCCATGACCTGACTCCAGACCATGAGAGCCAACAATGAGAAGTTAAGTTTAAAGTAAAACGATGTAGCAATGAAGCATGCTTGAAATGTGCTAGATGTGGTTGTGAATGTGATGGTTTAAGTGTAGTGATTAAGCTAAACCGTGGGTCCCAGTCGGATGAGAGAACTTATTCGAAGATATCCCAATCTATTCGAGCGCTTTTGAAAAGTGGACATTTCTTCTTCTTCAGGGGCAATCTGGGAATGGTGGTGTAATCGAATGAGTGATATATATATAAAGGGTTTATTGACGTCATGAAGGTCATCCGGTTTTCCAGAAAATGTTTAGTCTATTTCTCTATGTACTATTGTAAGCATCTTAGTTCCGGTACAGTGTAGCCGATGGACATACACAAACAACTCTTAGAGAACGTTTCAACAACCATAAATCTTCTATTAACACCGAAAAAGATCTCCCTGTTGCTCAACACTTTAACTAATCCGGTCATTCCATTAACGATGTTACTCTCATCGGCATTGAAACAGGATTCAAAACTAAAGCAGATAGAAAAATAAAAAAAGCTTATTGGATTGTTAATCTAAACACTGTTCAACCTTTCGGAATTAATCTAGACCCTGGAATCAGTAATCTCCGTTCATTGGTTTCATCTCTGTCAGGAAAATAATTTTTAGTTTTTGCTTATTTTTTTCATGTAATGTGAACGCTAAATTTCCTAAAACTTGCAATTCATTTAAAATAATTTTCCAGACCTGTTCTTATAAATTGATTAGCATAACATATCATTTTCAATCAGTCTCCATGTGTCACCTTATTTTAGTTACACACTTAAATATAGTTTTAAATATACATGTATTTATCCATTTCTAAAGTAAAGATATCCCTAACACCTTTTTCACATACACTCTCGAAATCGGCTACATTGTATCGGAAATAAGATGCTTACAACAGTACATACAGAAATAGACTAAACTTTTCCTTGAAAACCGGATGACCTTCATGACGTCACTAAACTTCCTTTATATATTTCACTCATTCGATTACACCACCATTCCCAGTTTACCCCTGAAGAAGAAAGGCTCGGGTTATAGGGTTTTTATTCATTTCTATCAAGACTTCTTGAACCTACACGTTTTTCTAGCATCATGAATGAGCCAATCTATTTGATATACCAGCTAAATCGGAGATTCGTCAATTAATTACTGCATTGACAGCGATACAAAAAAGGCACTCAATAGTATTGTTATCTTCAAAAAGGAGGGATTAGAATAATGTATAATAAATCATTAGTTTCAATATTGTGTGGAACTAACAACACAGTAAAGCCTAAAGATGCAGTGTTGAAGTTGAAGCAGATGCACGATTAATTACAAGAAGATGCCCCTAGCGATTCTCAAATCAAAAATGCATTTCTGCAATGAAGGATAAATATAAGATGGATGGTATAACGCCCAGTACGGTATCAACATAGTATAATTCATATATATATATCATGTCATATTTTCATTAATATTTAGTTTGTTTTCGTTTTAGAAGTTGTGCAGAACTTCGTTCATCGAGATCTATCGAAATAACCCCAACTCACTGGTTTCTGGAATGAACCCCACCTCCCCTACTCCACTGTTGACAGTTCTATAGGCTCAGTACTAAAAGATGCTGGGCTGGGTCTTGTGGCAGGTGTTAAATATAAACATAAAACATTTCCGTTTTTTTGTACAAAACACAAGGACCAAATTTATTTTGAATAGATTGTTGTTAATATTTACCTCGTCTCCCCTACTCCCCTGTTGACAGTTCTATAGGCTCAGTACTAAAAGATGCTGGGCTGGGTCTTGTGGCAGGTGTTAAATATAAACATAAAACATTTCCGTTTTTTTTGTATAAAACACAAGGACCAAATCTATTTTGAATAGATTGTTGTTAATATTTACCTCGTCTGTGAATTTCATTACTCAGCATCCGAAGTCTTGTTTTTTAAAGATAATTTAATGTGAGAACAAAGAATGTACAGTGAGTTTGGAAATCAGTGAATACATAATTACGGTCTAATTTAATAGCATTTACTCGATTTATTAAGTGTATAAAACATATATCAAACACCTTTAAAAATACTTGTGAGACATGTTTACAATAATATTTAAGACTGGAATACAAATATTAATAACACTGCTAATCATTGTTCAATCTTTATGGTTTAATGTTTTCCAATACTTTAAACTTTGCTATTTTGGTAATACTTCAAGTGCAGTAACGTTTTATAACATGTTAATAATTGTTCTCTCTATGTTAAAATCCAAAACCCATAGTTACGTTCATATCGGTTTTTAATTCCACCTAAACAAATAGTAATAAAATAAAATTCTGGAGAGATAGATTTTTAGTTATCTTTAATAAATGTTAGAAATGAAGAAAAATTCTGATTATTATATAAATTTGAAACGAAAAAGGGATAGGATCTTACTAATAGGTTTACAATAAGGAAAGTAGGCATTCATAATTACCCTCAAACTTCTCATAGAGTCTTAAAAGTGTTTGACAATTATGGTCGAATCACTAAACCGCTATAGCTGCGAAGAAACCATTTTAAAATCAGATTTTTAAGAACGTTTTAGCGTATTATAAAGTTATAATTCTGGGTATTTTCACTGGGCAGTGAAAATGTTTCAAAAATAGTTTAAAGTTTATGCTGTGGTAAAGTTTGAGTCGATAATAATCCTTGTAAACCATGTTCACGAAACTGATCAAGTAATGTAACCAATGGGTCTGCAGACGCTGCACGTGCCTAAATTCGTAAAGCTACAGTCATTTTCGAATAGTATGTTTAATTAATAACATCCGCTTTCCGCAGTGGGAGGCATGCTCAGTTATTATTTTCCTCTTTGGTCTTTCGTTATTTGTTGAAATCTGGAAAGGCAACTAACTAGTCAACAACATCAACTACCGACTCTTGGGCTACTAAAATAGAATAGGGAAATTGAACTCATGTCTACATAAGACATCCACAGCTCCAAAGTGCGAAGCGCGATTTTGCGGTAACGGGAGTCGAAATGGGGGACCCTTGGATCCATATGCTGGCACCTTAATCCAGCCCGAAAAGGATGATAGGAGCATCGACAGGTATAGTATGTACAAAATACAGATTTACTGATATGAATTGCATCCTCTCTGATGGATAAAAATTAAGCTGTAAGCTTTATTATTCAATCTGTTTCGTTATTAAGCCTGTATAGAAGAAAATAGCGAACGATATGTTGTTGACTTAAATAGGTTTCTATTAACCGTGAGTTTAATGTTGTTTTAAGTCAAGTTATTTTCAAGAAATGAAACACTTAACAAATGGTAAGTACAATATACATTGACTTGATAATATGTTGTGTATTTCGTTTTTGTTAAACATTTGAGCACGTTTTGTAATGGAGTCTTTTAAATAAAATTCCAAGGTTCGAGACGCGATGCCACTGAACGTTCTGCACTTTCTGCTGTGGTCGCAGTATAAAAGTAACATGTTTATCCCATTCTTCATTTTAAAGAGTCGTACAAAGTTATTGAAGGGGCGGGGATACTGGATGACTGTACCTCCCCTAATCAGCAATTTAATTATACGATCGATTATACTGACCTGACTGGTTAGCTCATGCATGCATAAAGGTGCAGTTTGAATTGAAAATTTAATTCCAAAAGAGCGCGGGTTGATCTTGTAGTAGAGCTTTGGATTTCTGAGATGGTAAACTGGGCTCAAATCCATATGACACCATAAAATATTCTCTGCAGTTTAAGCTGTGTATGCGTTATAAAAGCGACAGTCATTCCCTTAGTGTGGATGGTTGGTAGTAAGATGTTGATGAGTGGCTGCCTTCTCTCTGATCAGTAGTTCAAAGTATGGGACTACTTTAGCATAAATACAAAATAAATTTCTAATTCAATTTCAGTTAGTTAAATAAAAACGTTCATAAAATCCAATAAAAATACAAAAAAGTAAACTGGTCTTTGTCACTTATAAATAATTAAACACATAGATAGTTATCTAATGTAAGTGAATTACGTTTAGTTTTTAAAGGACTTTCGTTGCAAATCAATATGATAGAAAAAGCACGTCACATTTTTTAATAGACGATTAAAAAGTCAAATTTTTCAAAAGTGTTTGATTATCAAGAATCATATATATTTTAATTAGTTGAAAAATTCAAATTTTTAAAATGTGTTTAATTATCAAGAATCACACATATTTTAATTAGGTAATTGTTTTATGTCTGTGTATATTTACGTCTATCTGAATACCCTACAAAGACTGACAAGAAATAAAAACTAAAACATGGAGTAAGCATTCTTACCTCCATAAATTAAGAACATTAAAATCTTGATGGGGATTAATTCTCTACGAGTCAAGTCTTTCCAAAACGACTTCATATTTCAGTTGAATCAAAAGAGAAAACCAATAGTTGTTGAAAAGGCTAAGCGAAAATCTTTTTTCAAGCCTGAAAAGGTTTTAAAGATAGGCTTTTCTGAGACTGAACTAATAAACACTAATAAATTACTGTGGTGATAAACACAGCACACACACACATCTCTTATCTGTTTTCACTGAGCTACAGTTGAAGAAAGTTAAGCAAATGAATGTGCTGGTAATCTTAAACAATACACTTTCAAGTTTTATTGTTCTTGAACTTTGGAAGAGCGATTATTAACAATAAAAAGCGGATAAAATCCGATTTTAATTCACAAGTGCCCTTTCAGTATAAAATAGATGAAGGTGTCTCTAATTTTTTAACAGGGAAGATAACCATGTTTTACTTTTTTAGGATAAACATAATATAGTTATGTAAGAGCTAAATGATATTTTTGACTCATTTATATTTTAATCAAATTGTTTTTTTTCAGTATCAAAATTTTGTTCATACTAGTTATGAGCACTGACTAAGTTTTATCTTTAAGTAATTTTGAACTCTTTAGAATAACATATTTTACATTTTAAGCTTGAATCTTATTTATGATAATAAAATAATATACCTATTAATTTCGCTTAAAGGAAATTCAAGCTTAGACTGAAAAAATTTGGAGTAAAAATCAAAGTACTGACGCGTGTTTAGTACAGAGGGCTAAGTACGTTATGTTGAGACGATTTTGAATGTGTAAATAATCAAAACACGTTACAGCTTCAGGGAGCTGGAGAATGTGGAAATATTAATAATATTTCATGAAAAGACGTACAGGTCAAGTCACAAGACTTTATGCGATCGGACAATTGAAACGGGCGCTAGCAAATCGTCATTCTCGTACACTTGATGCATGGAAAGTACCAGGGAGGAGTAGTGCGCTTTGGACATGAAAGTCTTACAATGGAACCTTTTACAATAGAAACTACGCTGCAGGGCTATTTTCCAGATGCACAGTCGTCAGATAAAGGTTGACCGTAGGTGACGACTTGGACTGTAACGATGTAGGTCTCAAAATCGTTTTAATATGACATACTCAATTTCTGTAGAACGTAACACTAAAGATATATTACTATAGGGTGCTAGATATGAGAGAAGACGGAAAAGTGTTGAAATATACTATACTGGTGTTTTGTCAGTATTTTTAGAGGTGTACATTTATATTGCACATGTAAATTTAGGCATGATGTTGGTTGGAATGCTTAAAACTTTAGAAATATAGGGTGGTTTACTTCTACTACAAGGCCTTTTATTGCCCTAAAGATTGAGGGTGACTACCTCACCACAACTGGCTGTAGATAGCGAAAGACAGTAAAAGTTGCGGTGTTGTAGGCTTAAGCGCTCAACTCCTAACTTCTAATTGAGTCTCCGTGGCTACTAACTAGTTCGACATCTGCGTTTGGATCATGCCTGATAGATGAAATAACCCAAACGCTTTTGATAGCTATGACCACAGATATATTCCGTTATGACTTAATGGTAATGACAAAGACTGGTAATGGACAATTTTTTCGTTTTTTTTTTAATATTATTGTGAACTTTTTGGCTTTGATTTATATTAATTTCGTTATTGTTGTATAGTTCTGACTTGATCGCCTATTTACAATTAGTGCAATTTATAGAACTAGAACTATTGATATATATCTATATAACGTTTATACTATTGATATATATCTATATAACGTTTATACCATTTCTATGTATGTCGTATTCTAGCTGGCCTGCTGAATAATAGTATCGAGCGAAAGACCTCGTCGGTACTTCACATAGCAGATGTAGTGTTGATGACATATTATACCACATTCTCATTTGCTTTCACTCATGGATTCTTAGAATAAGTAAGCGAGTAGAATTTGGCACTAAGAATGCTCGTGGAATTATTGTCAGAACTCTACGCTAAACTTCATTGTTCTTACTCGTCATACTTGCCCTGTTGTAATAGTCTTATATTCTCATGTATTCAATACTGAGTCCTAATTTTTGAAGTTTTTGCAGTAACCATCTGGCATACCAGCTCCCGTTCCGCCTTTTGTTTCAATCAATCCCACAAAGTGTTTTTTAATTTTGACTTTATCAGTATCTACTTTGACGGATCGGACACTTATTGTCATCTGGCCTTTGTAACTGATATCCAGACTAGAAACCGACAAAACGGAATAATATATTTATTTATTCTAAGCTTACAGCACTGTGAACGACTTTTACAACAAGCAATTAAATGTGTTCATTTTGAAATATATTCCCAGGATAATGATTCTTAACCTCTTGCATTCTGATCCTCTCCAAATGTTCTTTAATTACGACATCAAACAGAGCAAAACCTTCAAACTTCAGAAAATTACACCCTTGTATGCGTCTAGAAAGTCTGAAATCCTTTTTGTATGTTGTTTAAACTATAATTATATATATATATTTGCATTTCCATATTACAGCTTTTTTTGCTGTCCTTAAATATTGTCGCCATAATTAAATGTCTGCTTTGCCTTTACGCTAAGACGGACTCCGTGCTGGAATTTTTACAAACTATATTTTATTGACAAAGAGCAGGATAGTATAGATGGTCATAAACAGATGTGGTGCTCATTTGTAAAGTCGAAAGACAGCTGTCATTTCTACAGCAATAAAGCTTAGCCATAGCACCCATTTTAACTCTAAAAATTTGAAAGATATAGATGTTTATTAAATATATCTTTTGTCATTCACTTAAGTTTTTGTCAAGATAATTCAAAATTTTGATCATATTTAGTTGTTCACGTAATAATATTTGAACATTTGCAATAAGTTTTATTTAAATTTGACACGTTCTTGCACCTGCTGTATATTGATATTTTCAAAGTTTCTATTGCTTTAATTGTATGTGACTAAAAAAGAACAAAATAAAAAAAAAGAACTGATATTACCCTGTGTTTCCCATTACTTGAAATGGACCAGTTTTAGCTTTGTAAACTGGGTTCTTAAATTTAAGAAAGTTTACAGTAATATCATAATATCATTATGGTATGTTCACGTTTATATCACATCAGCTCAGAGATTAAACACCATTCTAATCACAAATACCTAAGAGCTTGATCCCCAAGGAGGAGATGTGGGATAGGTAGTTCGTGATTATACATACCGGATTTTGCTGCATACGTTGTTTCCAAATTAGTATTAGTATGATTAGACTATTCTGAGTAAAGTAATATGATATCAATATTAATGTTAACACCTTTCGTAGGGCCAGTATTTTGTAGTAAAGGTAAGATCATCAAAAATCGATCTTGTAATTCGATTGCGGAAATGATACTAAACGAAAGTACTTATGCTAAAAGTTTCACAACTTTTTTAGAGTAAAATATTAAGTATAGATGAAGATATGGCTAAATAAAGATCGATGTATCAACGAATATTAGCTACATATTAAGAATGTTAGGATGTAAACAGTTTCGTTCGTAATGCGTTTACAAGATATTGTATCAAACTAAAACATCAGGTTGTCCATCAGGTTTTATCACAATTTTGCACAAGTGGAAAACTTCTTTGTTTTGTGGTGAAGTACACAATAGAGCTAATAACACACTTCACTCGATAGATAGCAACAGGAGTTTTCATTGTATTTCAGTTATATTTTTCTTTAACTTGTTACTGGATATAATTTCCTTGGCTTCTCTACTATCTTTTACAATTTGTTTTTCTATATTAAGCAATAATTGGTGTGCATCATTGTGTAAGATAATATAACATATTTTCTTTCGTACTGAAATTTTGAGGGGTAATTATACGACTTGTTTTATCAATAGAGTTAAAGGATTCACAATTTTGTTTGTTTGTAATTAAGCACAAAGCTACACAATGGGCTATTTGTGATCTGCCCACCACGGATATCGAAACCCGGATTCTAGCGTTGTAAGTCCGCAGACATACCGCTGTGCCACTGGGGCTCACAATTTTGATTTGGGAAACTTCTTGTCAGGGAAGCATCTATTCCGAAAACATCTCTGATATCATATATCATTTACATTTTGGCATTTGTATGACATATTTACTTTCTTTGTCATCACATCACCTCCATCATCACTATCCTCAATTAATGCCACATTAAGATCATTATAAATAAAATCCATATCGTCACTTTCATCATGTACAACTTCATCAGTGATATTTACTATGTTCTCATTGTAATTTTGCCGTTGTCGTTTTCTTCTACCGTTTGTTGCATTATTAATACTTGCCAATACACTTTTTTGCTGCCTTCCCGCATGTCTCCGACTAATTTTAGGTGAATTTGATTATCCAACACGGCAACAACCACAATGAGAGCATTCTAAGCGTTTTGCATAACTAGATCTTTGAAATTTGCAAGAAAGGGTTGTATTTTGAACTACAATTACCATTTTTCGTCGACAGTCGTTAGCAATTTCATTCCATCTATTTATAGTGAATCTAAAAATAAGCTAAATCGTCGTCTTTTTGACCAATGATATTGGTAAAAAAATGGAAACAAAAACCTATTTGCACAACGGGTCATTTTTCTCTGACCAACATGAGCTTACTCACTTTACGGATACGGGTGGTGTTAAAGAAAAAGTAGTTATAAATGTAAATGTTGGTAATATTAAACATTTCCGGATTCTACATTAATTTGGATCAAATGAAAACTTCACAACAATATTTTTGTTATAGAATAAAACAACAATTAATATTTCAAGTTTGATATCAAATCTGTTATTCAGCACTTGTGTACGTCAAATCAAAAGGCTACTTTTTCCCCCACTCTTCTCAGCTGATAAACAAACAAACGATTGTTACAATGGCTTATTTATCAGCTTTACTAACGTTATGTTTAACCTTGGAATGATTGAATGTTATTGGTTTGAAAATGAAATATTTTTTCTTTGTCTTCTTGGTAGGTGTACGACGATATGTGATAAACTCTAAAGAGTGTGTTTGCAGTTGCCTAATCTCTAATCTGTAGAATAGTATATGTAAAAAGTTCGACAAACACACAGTTTGTTCATAAACCATTTAGAAGGATTTTAACTAACTCAATGACTGGTCAATAATTAGTCAGATAGTCAACTGTTAGATAGAAACACATACCG